AATGTTATAGGCCTACTGCATATTGAGAAAATTTAGATCGGTATTGCGCAACAATCGGGAGATGGGGACCCCCCCAAATATTGACAGGTATTTCGCACACTGGTTATACAGTAGACATTTTCCTTACTAAAGGGAGTCCATGGAAATGTATTGTTGGTTTACATTCTCAGGAAAGATGCTTTAAATATCACAAAAAAACTCTTTCATATATGCAGAATGTTCTGTAAGCAGCTTTAGATATTTCAAGATGACTGGACAACAGCAATATTATATGTTATGACAACAGAGCGTACATGGTGAAAAACTGTTAAAGCAGAGCGCAGGCAAAGTAATTAAATACATCTTTGTTCCAAATGGTTTAAGATCTCCCAGCTATTATAGCTGCTGTTTTAAGGGATTACATGAAATACGACTTAGCACGTAGAAACTTCCACCCACTCACAACAAAAACTGGGGGAGGCAATTTCCCTTCTAGCCACACACCATACATCTTTTATGCTATTTTAAAATTCTGATTTAAAAAGCAGCTATTACACGAACCCATTGCTTTGCCTGTGAATCAAATGACATTCAGTATGTTGACAGCATTAATATGTATGTAAGCACATGTGTGAAGGCTAATTCAGGCTGTAAATGGCTGGAATAGATAATGTTTGAGTATGTATGTTCAAATCCCAGGTTTAGTCTGATTTTAGGCTGTTTGTTCTTTCCTTATTGTGTGCACACACATTTTTTTAAGAGGCCAAATGTACCACGTCCATTTTGTGCTGATCTCAGGCTCACTATAGCAGGGACAGTTGCAGCAGGAGAGTGATCATTGAGAGCTCCGTAGTATCGATCGGGCTGGTGTCACGGTCACTGAGAAGAAGGCTGACACTAGCTGGGATACCCTTAGGTTGGTGATGGAGCATCTGGCCACCATAGCAAAGCACAGCATGATATGCTGCATAAGTAGAGACCCAGCAGTCTGTGATTTTAGGAGGGTATTATCCTTTTTTATATACTTGCTTGCTGTTTATGAGTAATTAGAAGTCATTTTGTTGGTACCATTGTCTCTCTCCTGCTAATAATGAGTGTCTCAATATGAAGCATCTGTTATTTTTCTTTAAGAGAGGGTACATTAATGTGTGTGTGTACATCAAAGTTACACTCCCGTTAGCTGCGTTCTAACCCAACAACCCTTAAAACCCATAGGATGTCACACCTGCAGCCCACAGAGTCACATCTCATTTGACCCAAGTGCTGCTGTCGCTTGCAGTATTCTCACTCACACAAACAAAGTGATACCTGACTGCCTTCTCCCTTCAACTCAAACAGGCACTACTCTCTATCCAACATACACACACAGACAAAAAGTCAAGTTTTGCTTATGGAGACTTTGCATTGAATTCTATTAATTTCTATGGCCTGACTCAGACCCTAACCCTACCCACTACTAATACATACATAACCCTGATCCTGAGTCAGTTCAAACCTTTTTTTTCAGTTTTTATTATTACACTGTCACAATTACAGAGCAATGAAATGTACCTTTTGGTGGACTGCCATTGTGCGGCGCCTGGGGAGCACTGTTGGGTTAAGAGTCTTTTGCTCAGGGGAACCAGAGTGGCAGTCTGTGGGAGTGGGGCTTGAACTCAGAAACCTCTGGATTCCAAGCGTAATGCCCCAACCACTAGGCCACCACTCCCCCATCAAAACTTAGTCGTTTGTCCTCACAAGGACCTGTAAGATCCCACAATGCCTTACAGTGTCTCTACAAGGTGACCAAATGCATCAACACAACCCCACCTCACACTTAAACACTGCGTTATTCTATAAAACATGAGCCTGTTGACTTCTCACACTTACTCACCTGTCTGAGTCAGAAAAAAAACCTGCATACTCATTAGACAAAATTAATGATAAATTAATTTCAGTTTAGCATTGTCTAATAACTTCTGACTATTGATCTAAGACCAACACAGTAATTAAAATGTTTTAGAAAATAGGGATTAGGATGGCTGTGTGAAGATATGGGGGACAGCCTTTTGAGATTTGATGATTTAACTTTCTAACTAATTTTTAAGGTTCCTGGTATCCTTTTTTCCCGGAAAAAATATCTTGTTTGAGTCTTGTGCCCTGGCCTTTTCAGGTATAAAATTAAGCAAGGTTTTCAAGAGCTTGCATCGGTTCCACTGATTATTTTGCATGACTGGAAATGCTTGTCTGTATACTCACATACTTGTATGACAAAATGAGGTTATATGATTAAACTAGACACGTACAATTTTAGGTAGCTTCTCATTAAAGTATGACATTTCGGGAAAAAAGTGCTTTGGGTTCTAAGGTTTAAATAATATCTACCAGGAGTAGGACACAGTTCATTTAATTTGATTTGAGCTGACTTTCCAAAAAAAAAGTTAACAATCAAAAAATTCTAAGTTTTAAGACATTTCGCTTCCCATCCAGGAAGCTTTTTCAATTCAAAATGTCAGAAATAGCTTTGAATTTCGAAATTTTATATATTAGACCAACAAAGCCTTGTTTTTGTTTAGAAAACATGCAAATTGAAACGGACAAATAGATCCACCCCTTTGGAATGGGGGTTGTTTGGCTTCTTTTGTTAGCATACAGTGCCCCATACCTGTCTGTACTTGTACTGAAGAAGAAGTGAAAAGGCTTCCTGGATTGGAAGCGAAACGCCTTCAAACTTGGAAACAAAGTTCAGTGGATTGTTTTGTTTTGTTATCTTTTTGGAATGACTATGACCTGGATGACTGAGAATCTTCACAAACATTTAATCATACTTTTTTGATTTATAAGAGCCAACTGCCAAAAAAAATTTATTTATTAATATTATTCTGTATAATTCATGATATAGGTAATAAAAATATTGTTCACAGTAAAAAATGAAAAAGGACAAACAGTAGCAGGGTAACAAACAGAGATATCAGTTAGTGACGGATGAATTGACTATGGCAGTTTCAATTATGTTTAGACAGCGCATTTCCACATGTACAATGCACAATGTTAGCCTGACATAGTCCTACTCAATTCTAGTCAGAATATGAGTCTGATGCTGCTCCATAGAGCTGTGATTATGGTGTGTGTTTTGAACGAACCAGGAAAAAAAATGCCTCTGCACTCAATTGGACAGACGTACAACCAATAAGAGCAACGGATGTTAAGCGAGGCATAGTTGTTGTCCACAAAAATCAAAGCGTGCAGTTTCACGCCTAGAGTAAGAAGATGAGCCTTGATGGCGTTTCTATGTTCCTCTTTTAAAATTAATTTGCTGTCGATATCTTCTAGAACAGACCTAATAGCAGAATCTACTCACCTCAACTCTTCGGCGGCAGCCATTGTTATTGTCACCCAAGCGCGCTTTGGTCACGTGGTTGATTACGTTACTCTTGATCATCTGTCCATCATCGTATAAAGCCCGCCCTGACAATTTGATTGGATCGCCTGACAGTGGGCGATAATACTCGCGCTACTATGGAGCAGAGCCAGACCGAACTTCCCGACCTCAAACTTTGTGGGCGGGACTAAGTTCGGAATGGCACCCAGGCTAGCACAATGTAGCTGCTGTACAGGAATGTGCCTGTAAAACAAAGTTGAAACTTGATTCAAGGTTAATGTTAGAAAATAAAACTAATACGATTTTTTAAAGGATCTTTAAGAATCAAATAACAGTGAACACCGTTTACTTGAAACTTGAGGAGCCCAACCAGGGTGATATCTGTGCAAATCCAGGTGTAGCTGATGGGACAGTTTGAGCAAGCATCTGCTGCATGCAGGTACAGTAGCGACCAACATGCACTCAGAACCAGAACCACTTCCAAGTTAAATTTCTGTTCTTGTTTTCAACCTACATATTGTGACCCTTATTACTTGCTCTGTTTATCTAAGTGTAATACAAAATGAGCTGCAGTGCTAACATTCAGGCATGACATGCTGTGCATTACAAATATAAAAGGTGCATACGGATGAAGTCCTTGCTTGCATATGCAATGTCTGTGACATGCAAGTGCACAGACTTAATGTGCTATTACACTTACTGTAGTGCTTGCACAAAGAGCTGCATGCATTCACACTCTTGAGTAAACATCAAAGATGCCAAACAATGAGTGGGATTCAAAGAGAGGGGTGGGATTGCCCTCTGTCACTTCAAAGCTTCCTGCTTTTAAAGAGAAAACCATTTCCAGCCATCCCACCATGCCCTCTGACGTACGGTTTGATCAGTCATTGCAAACTATTTATCTCTCTGTCTCTTGTGTCTTACCTATTTTGTTAGCCAACAACTTATATGTAAACTCAGTTAAATGCATAATTAAAGAGCTCTATGAGCAGATGGTGAGCTGAATCAAGTGAACACTCCTGGTTGATGAAGCAGGAGCGATAAAGGGAAGATTCAGTGAGAAGGAGAAGACAGCACATGATAGATATTGAAGAAAAATGATTGGAAAAGACTAAATTAAATTTAAAAAAGCTGACTCTCTTTTTGACAGGCACTACCTGGCTTGAAAAGATTGACTCACAGACTTTCTAATGTCATATTTAGTCAAAATGGGATACATATTTAGCCAGATCTATTTCTAATAGGAAAAGGTAATGTTAAATTAAATCTAATTTACTCTGACTGACAGATTTCCTTTGGCCAAGTGAGAGAAACACAAACTGGTTTGAACAAACATTCATTGAAAACGCAGTTAAATCAGTCCACCGTACTATACTGAGTTTGTTCCAAGTGTGTTAGCACATGAATTGGCTGAAGGATAATTTTGTTTACCTCTCTAAACAGATCAATTCTGGCTGCTTCTATTCAAATGAGATGAAGCATGCCAGAGCCGAGTCTCTGGCCTCTTCCTACCAGTGCTGTCAGGAAAGCATAGTGCATAATTTCAAACAAACTCAGCCCCTTGATGAACTTATAGAGTAGCTGCAGCAAAATGTAATCTTTATAAAAACCTACTTATATACGGTGTGTTTCATTATAGTTTCTTTTTGCTTATTTTCAGGGTCAAGTCATGTTTCGTAATGGAGAGAGGATGGGCACAATAAAATTCAACCAGTTTCAAGGTAATTTTCTCATAAACCTGTCTGCTTTTTGTCTTGTTTTGCTCATTTAGGAGACTCTCGCTTCCAAATGTAAGATTTGAACATTTTGTCACGTTTAACTCGTAAATTGTAATGCATATCTCTGATGGTTTCATGTGCTATTTCAACACAAGGCATTAAATAACTGTCAGGTGAAAGGAGACGACTTGCAGTTTTATTTTCATTTTATTTTCAAATATATAGTTAGAATAATTTAGATTTATCAATCACTTAAAATGCATGAGGCTTATTTTTCAGAATAAAAGTGTTTTCTGGAGATAACCTCTAAACAGGTGTAAGTCTAATTACTGTTCTGTTGTTTTAGGGGTCTCGTGCAATATTTGAATTTCAAATGTGCTTTCATCATCTGTAAGCAGGCAGCCTCATAATTCAAATAAAAAAAGAGCTCTTTAGATCAGTTTTTGCACAAAAGTAGTTGGCCAAATAGCACTACTCTCTTGCAGCACAAAGGTACTGGGTTTGAACCCCAGTGCTGTGTTTATCTGCTTTGAGTTTGCATGTTCCCCATTTGCATCCATGGATTTTCTCTGGCTTCCTTCCATATTCAAAAAAACATGACTGTTTGGTTAAATGGCCTCTTTAAAGCACCTTTGTGTTTGAGTGGGTGTGTGCATGGTTGTCTGTCAAGTGTTGCCCTGGAATTAACTGGTACTCTTTCTGACTCCCACCTGTGGACCATTCGAGATAGAAAACTAGTGGTAAAAAAAAGCAGTTATGGATGGATAGATGGATGGATGGACGGACGGACGGACGGATGGACGCAATGTTATGAAAATAATTTTTTAGCTCGAAAATTCCTGAGACGCATTTTACTGAAATACCTTGCATGCTATACACTCGTTCTATTCTGATACTGCAGATGACGAACATTATTCAAATTATTCAGACTGTTTTCAGGAAAAATGTCTCCCTAATGCTTTCTCTATGGGGAGGAACCACACATCTGGTTAAAAGAAACATGAATAATTATGTTTAGTCTCCACCAGAAGTCATTAAATGAATTCGTAAAAGCTAGAATTAGAATGATAAAATGAAAAAGTCTTCTGTTTTCCTCAGATAGTGACACCATCCTGTGGTTGTTTTTGCGCTGACAGGATTTTCTGAGAATAACCCAAAAAGATTGGATCTTGATGCAGGGGATTCCCATCTCCCAGGCATTCAGGACTGTATGCAGCACAGCAGAATAGTGCTGTTCAGTCCCCCACCTTCTCTCTATCTCTCTCTCTGCCTAAATAACTTATATTTCTGACTGCAGAGAGGCTTGATCCCTCTGGCTGGTTACAACTCACACTATCAAACCCTTTGCATGTATTTCTCTCAGACCAGGAGAAGTATTTGGGACAGAGTTGATGTGCAGAGTCAGGGTTTCTTAAAATTTGCATACATCTAGTCAGACATCTGTGCACTCTGTAGATTTTGCTAGTTTTCACTTAAGGACAATCTAAACCGGGCCTGGTTTAGTGCGAAAAATCAGCTGCAGCACTTTTTTTTACTGACTATCACACCTCTAATACCACAGCAGAGCCTCATCAAGTTACGCGATGTTTATCTATATCATCTCAAGGCACTTTACAATTCAATCAGATCATACAGTCAAATTTATAAAAAGTTTTCCATCAAAGGAAAACCAGTTGATTGCATCGACTCAATGACTCAAAGGCAATCCTTCACACCAAGCATGCTTGTAGTGACAGAGCAGAGGAAAAACTCCAGCAGAACCAGTAAGCGGCCATCTGCTGAGGTTGATTGGGGTTCAACTTAATATAAAAAAATGCAGTAAAGGAGGTTATTGCACCCCTTATTTGGTGCCCCTGACAAGTATTGTGGCAAAAACTCAGCAGAGGAAGAATTCACTTATAGACCTTGTGAATTACAAAACTATATGGCTTTAACTATTCCATACTTTGTCATGCTACACATAAAGTTAGATGTAGTGCCTTGTTTTAAGGGCCTTGTACTGTTCTGGAGTGTTAGTGCATGGTTACTGCATCTATATCCTGTCAGATACATTGGTACGAGTAATTGAAGAAAGAACAGCAAAGATATCCAGTATTTAGACCCGATGCATTCGCAGTCAAGTTTGCGGTCCAAAGTTCTAGAGATAATCCTTTCAGATAGATTTTAAAGATAAATAAATACCACTGATGAACAATTTGGCTTTAACAATAAACCAATATATGTATTTATGCTTTGAAAGACGCAGCAAGCAAATACACAAAAATAAACATAATCATAGAGACTTAAAGTCTGTAAAGCAGATTGTTTGGTTTGGAGACTGTATTAAAGGTTGTGGAGAAGGTTAAATATCTTGGTCCCATTATTAGGAGTGATTTTGGTGATCATGATGATGCTGATGACGATAATGATGATGCTATACAGAGACAGTATTGCACATTATGTGTGCAAACAAACATGGTAGCACGTACATGTATAATTTCAGAGTTGCTCTATTTAAAGCCTATTGTATTCCACTCTATGCTGCACATAGTGAGCTAATTACAGTAAGGCTACACGCCGCATACAATGATGCACTTCCGATCCTATTAAAGATAGCTCACTGGACCATTGCCAGTCAGCTGTTTGTTTAAAATAATGTACCCACTCTAAACACTGTGATCAGTCATTGAGGAATGTGTCGACATTATGTGGATTGTAGTGTTTAGTTTTTTTGTTCTCTATTTTTTATGTGTTTTTGTCTTTTCTTTCTAGACCAAACTGTCTAAAATTATGAATGACTGATTTAACTTTTGTCTTATTTAACAAAACTCGCTTGTTTTTTTTCCTTCTTTACATTGCTTGTGGTAAATGGTGGTTGGTACCTTATATTGCTTTCATTTGACACTGGCTTTCTTCACCACACTTTTCCATTAGTGACATATTTAGTAGAAAAAAAAAGAATTTGTTTTTGAGTTATGTCACCAAATTATTCTAAATTTCTAAGGATTCTCCAAGGTTACTATGCGCCTCTTGTTTTTTTCTGATCATTAGTTCTTCTTGTCTTCCAGTTTAGGTTAATGTCTTGGTAGTTTATCATTTGTTCCATGGCCTGTCCATTTTTAAATGAGGAATTCAACAGTGTCTGGTCTGATGTGTTTCTTCGAGTCCAGTATACTGTTTAACAATGTTTTCCAAGAGAAATGTTAGGCCCCCTAAAGAGCAGCTCTGTTTTATAACTCTGGTATGATCACACACAGGTAAATTACAAATTAGGTGAAATTTCTTGTAGATAGAACTTTTATTTGAGGCTTTTATGTTAAAAACACCTCTAAATTACTTTTCATTGATTCTAAATTGACGACATTTTGAAAAATGCAATGAATTTAAACTCACGTTGGATTTTCTTACTTTTTAACTTAAGTTTGTAAAATGATGACTACAAAAGAAATCTACTCAAATAGTTTACATAGAAATATTGAAGAGAAAACAACTTTGTTTTTTCTCTCCATGTTTTCTCCTCTATCAGATCTTCACATTAAAGACATTTGGTCTCACCTCCTCACCTCATTTGAACCTCACTCCACCTTTTCTATCTCCCGTACACTTGGAGAGTGAATCTGTCAACCCTTTGTGACACATCGTGGCAACGCCTGACCTAAGTAGAGAGGACATGAGAGGCGGACCCATTTTGAATATTTTAAAAAAGACTTATGCACCACGTGACACTCTCGCATGTCCTCAGCCCGTGATCCTCAATTTCTCCCTGTCAATCTTTTTTATAGGCAGCAGCGTCTCACCCCTTCCTCCTTTTTTTTTTCTCATGAATCTGAGATAAAGTTCAGTACTGGAGATTCGGATCTCACTCTGAATTAAAATCAACATGCTACCAAGCATTGATGATAAGAAACTATCTGTATAAATAGGACAATTCTATAATAGACAATATATTACCTTCTAATGATGTGTGTTTTTGTCAGGATGCTTGAGATCTCAATGTTACACATATTACCCAACTTTCACTCAGTTTTCATTAACTTCTGCAACAACTCTCAATAATAATATACCTAAACATGCAACCTTTTTTTTGCATTTACTTAATCATGTTTCTTTACTTTAACAGAATTATTTCATGTTACAGTAGCTGGGTAGGACATAACACAATTGTGTTAAAGTAACTAAATATGATTAACTAAATGCAAAAAACAGCTGCCGATTTTTTTAACCCGTGAGGTAAAGCGTTTCTATTGCATGTTCTACTAAAAAAGATGAAAAGAAAACCAATAAATAAATAAAATATAGAGCTATCACACCAATCAATCAACCAATCATCACAAATCAATTAAAAACAGCTGATTTCTAAGGATTAATTCCACTGGACAACCACACAGCATATCTTTCAAATTGATTAAAGATAACCAGATGTGAGAAATGCCATGTGCTGGTCCACTCAGCATTGGCCCCTTTTTCTAAACCCTTAAAAATGACTGAGAGCCTCCCTCTTTTGGCAGAAAAGGAACATTTTCCTTAAAAACTAACAGACACTTTGACCTGTCATACCTCCATCCACAGATGAGATGTCTGCATGTTTACAGCTCCTAGAGGCAAGTTTTCTTTTATTGTTACAAGAAGCCGAGGACTTCAACATATAAGTGGTGTTATTTGAGAAAATAACTTGAAAACTGTTTGGTCAGTCTGAGAGCAATAGTCTTTTGACAGTCCAATTTTCTTTTGTCTTTTGTTCCTTTGGAAATCTTTCTCTCATACTATTGTAGCTTGGAGAAAGCAAGTTCATTGTCATTGATGTAATAGTAGGACACTCATATTTCTTTGATGAGTAAAAATAGCAGTAAAATGAGGGTTTATTTCTTTGCAAAACATGTTGTGAAACTTTGTAAAAAGCAGACTGACTTATTAACATATCAACTATTTTGACTATAGGTGTTAAATATGTTCAAATAATTTTTCTACATCTGCTCAGTCAGCTACACTGCAAGGAGAGATTCAGTTCCCAAAAAATACCATTTGAATCCAAATGAGCCAGGCTACTGCTTTATTAATTTCGTAATGATGATCAACTGTTAAAACCCACTCTCTGGAGCCTGATTTGGAAAGAATTTTACCAGGAGAAATTATAATGCACTCTGTGATTTAACACAAAATGTTAAGTTTTAAAGGCCTTCGAAAAAGACATTTAGAGCACTGAGCTGTTACTTCATATTTCTCTTTTTTGCGTGCTGCAGACTTCTTACTTTACTCGTGATATGTCACATTTTAGAATAATGTGCTTTGGGATGACTCTAATTGAAATCAGTGATCTACAGCTCAGGCAGGATTAAACTGTTAGATTCTTGCACCCTATCTGCTAGCATCCCCAGGTTGAAAATCCCTGGTTTAAAATATTAATGTTCTCTAATTAAAGCATGTTTTTCTATGTCCATTTACTTGTTCACATTATTAAAATGTTCACTTTAAAGCTAAATTACGTGTGATATTTGGGTTAATATATAAAACATGTGTCTAAGTTATAAATACATGGATGAACAACTATAAACTAAGACAGTTTCAACGCCTTTCTGTTATTTTCTTTTTTGCTTTCTATGACTGTTTCTAAAGGGTTAGAAAAAATGTTTATTATTTTTTAAAATTATATTATATTAGCAGATTTTTGTATGGTAAAAGTTTCCCATTTCCAGCCGTTATTGAATTTTTGGTGAGGATTAAAGATAAAACGAAGTAATTAGCCAAATGGGGAATTGCTGCTCACATAAATGTTGTCTATCATTTTTCTTGTCAAGGACACTTCAGCCTGAAAGTTCAATTTTAAGAGTGACAACAGAAAAGGCGTTTAGGCTTGTACATGCAAACCTGTAGGTTGTGTGTGTGGCATAAAATGAAGAAATTGAAGAATGACCAGTTTTTTTCCCCTATCAAATGTTATTTTCCCACTTTTAGAATCCAATGAAATTACCTTTAGAAGGTATTAATATGGAATATACATTAATATGGAATATACAACTAATTGATACAGTGCTGAGAAGAAGGTGGCATTCACAAATACATGTAAATAATGGTGTTTTTAGAGCTCTCTAAATTGCTATTAATGCATACCCCAAAATTGGAATATTGTTATATTATGGAGGGTGAGATGACTGCATCTTTCCTCTCTTGCTGTAGTTCTAGCAGATTCCCTCTCTGGTTTCAAAAAAGTTGTTTATTTTTATTGTTTATTTGCTTATTGGTGCAAGGCTCATAATGACTATGATGCAGCTATGTAGCAGGCATATATTATCAGTGTGCACACTCACACTAGATATAATGCTCAGTAGGTCAGTTTTCCAAGGCTTGGGGGCTCAACAGAAAGTTTTTGCAAGAAGGAAGTTTGGACATCAGCAGGCCCTGGATTAAGGTCCTGAATGTCAAGATCCAAACAAGAAAGGTCAGGTGCAGAGAGCACTTTGGTGCTTTCGGAATAAAATCAATGCACCAACTTAGGCTTACTTGACTAGTGAAAAACAAAACAGCAAAACGTAAACAGGAAGAAACAGAGAAGTTTTTGGACAATGTAAAGGGATAGTTACAGTTTGGGCATGGATAAGAGTTTTGCCCTAGAACTCCCAGAGAGAGCTTGAACTGACGTTAACTTCTGCTCTTGCAAATGTTGTTTCCACAGCCACGGCTGTAGTTGGGCTGGGCTGGCCGCATTATGTTAGTGGGTGGCTGTTTGTGGCAACTCCTCACTGGATTATGACTATAACCTACATCTGGCAGGAAGTAGCAGAAACTTAATTTCACCTATTTACTTATAATATCTGTTTGATAATAGGATTGACACAGTTGCTATGCAGGTAGCTAAACTTTCTCTATCCATAATAGCAAAGTGTGTGCTACAAAACATACTGTATATCTGGACACTGTAGTACAAACTGTTTTAAACATTAAAATGTTAATGAAAACCATCTTTCTGCATAGGCCTGTACCTCAGACTAAATCTAATAATTCATAGATGTTACATGATTTTTTCAGCGTTGTTAAAATTCAACATTGAATGGCTAATGGCGTTTAAACAGATATTGATGTCATTTGACTTTTTATCTGCAAATATATATATATATATATATATATATATATATATTTATTTTTTTTTTTTTTTATCATTTAATTAATCAGTGTGTGTGATTTTTCTATTGTTACAGATGGTCAGGAAGTGAAAGTGGGAGAGTACAATGCCATAGCTGATGTATTGGAGCTCCAGAACACCTCTATCAAATTCCAAGGTATGTCAACTTATGGAAATTACAGATGAGTCTGATTCTCTTTGTATAGTAAAAACTCTTGCATATTCCCAACTTTTCCTCTAGCATAAGAGGAGTTCATTGACACTGCACAGGAAGAGGCACTTTTCTGTGAATTTGCCAAAGCAAGCTAATAGAAACTAGCAAAACTATTCTACCACACAAGACATTAAAACCAAAATTCAAAATGGGAAAACAAACACACAATGTTTAGCATTCTTTCACATTTGAAATGAACAGGATATTGTCATTTCATTTCAAGATATCTTATGTTTGTTAATAATAGCAGCAGTGTTTCTGTGCTGGTGATAATAATGAATCAAGACTTTAGAAGACATGTTTAGATGTAAAATACATGCCTACTGTATGATGTAACCATGCTCAGAGTAATGCATATCACATCCAATACAACCAAATATATTACTTCACCATATCAAGTGTTGTGTGTCAACTGCCTATGCAATAAATGCCGCTCTGATATATGCTCTCAACTATTATTCAACCAATCAGGTATTGTATTATGAAACATATTCATGTTTGTATTTTCCAGATGAACTTTATGGTAGGGTGACCATATTTTCATTTGGGAAAACCAGGACGCGGGGGGGGGGGGGGGGGGGGGGGGGGGGGGTTGATTGAAAGAACAAATGTCTCATCATCGGGATTTGCTCCGTGATGAGAGGAAATATTACTTGTTACTAGTTGTTTTAATGGTTATAGAGTCAGATATGTGGCGGTAATGTTTGATTTATCTAAAGCTTTTTATCTGTTACTGTATAAATGAGTTTGGCTGGAATTTAAGGACAGATTCTAATATATCTGCAGGGTGGGAACTATAAATCTGATAGGATTTTTATCTTTTTATTGCTGTTTTGCACAATATGCTTAACTAAGTATTTTTTGTTGTTGAATATTAGAGATTTTGCAGACACATTTTGTAGATGCATTGTTTAGATTTAATTATATCTTTCTACCCCTTTTATAGAATAGAATAGAAAATCCCTTTATTGTCCCACAATGGGCAAATTTACAGCAGCAGAAAGATTATTGAAAATGGTCTCACAAATGTGGACCTTAGAAAAATGTATAAGAATAACATAATAGGGAAGAGTTAAAATATAAACAATAAAATTCTGTAAAGTGTTTTAACAATATAAAACAGGATAATTAATTACCAATATGCAGCTATGGACATTTTTACAGTGATGGATATTTGAAAATAGCAGCAACATCAGAGATGTGCAGAATGACAGCAGCAGGTTTTTTAACTGACTAAGGTTTCTATCATTACATTTGATTTGATTAGTTCCTGCTACCGGTGGTTGGAACCTTTATTCCACTCTGGATTCTTGTGAGTGTAGTCTTTGTTCACTTTAACTTTTAAAAAAATAAATAAATAAACAGTTTTGAAAACCTCGGTATTCATTCTTTTCCTGCTTTGTGTGTCAACTTTCACGGTTGCTAAGCAACAGAGCATACGCCGTAAAACCCGCTGAAGGGTAGACCTGTTCGAATTTACAGACAGAACTCTTCCGGCCTCCTTATTTTCAAGGACTTTGAAGGATCCAGTCTAGGTAGACCGCGTCCTTGGAGGATGCAGCCCAGGTTTTCGAACAGAGCCTCTGATTAAGAACAGGGCTGCCTGCACTGACGCGGCTCAGGGATTACGTCACACGGAGCGTCGTGCGCAGTGAAATCAGGACATTTCCTTACTTTCTAAAAAAAAAAAACCGGGACGCCCGGGACAGGACGTGAAATACGGATATGTCCCGGGAAATACGGACGTTTGGTCACCCTACTTTATGGGCAATGATTAGGTTGCTGCACAAGACTTTGACCAAGCTGGTTCATAGCTTGTTCATAGTGCTCATAGCTTACCATGTAACCATAACGATTTGAAATAAAATAAAAACCTTAATCAGTTCTCATTCATTTAAATGACACATTGATTTTTTGTTTTTCAAAATTGTTAGGTGGTACAATTCACCAGTTACAATAGTGCAGATTATTATACCACTTTAGACACAACTTAGACATTTGCCCTAGAGATCGAAAACTTGTTTATGATTCATGGTCAGAGATTCAGGTCTAATTAAAAGATTCTATCTCATGTAATGAAGCGATATGTGTACAGCTGCTGTGAATGTTTTACTGGGATAGGATTGGCTTGAATGGTTTCTAGCCAGTTACATTGGTGCAGCACTGAGTGTAAAATGTCTTTTAACTGTGTAACTGTGTCTTCATGATGATGATATATATCATCAATGTTTCTCCAAATTAATGCTGTATTAAATTACTTTAGATCACTTCCGAACAAAATGAACACAATTTACCTCCAAGTTTAACTGGCTGTTAAATTATTTTTGATGTTATTTGGACACTTTATTCTGACAGAAAAATCAGTATAATACTCCTTATTTTTCTTTTAACTGATTATCTAAAAATACCTGCACTTCCCGCATCAGGCCTTCCAAAGGTTAACACCCATTTATTATTTTAAAACAATTTGCCTTGTTCCTTATTTTGTTATTTGAACATTTTTTATCAGTTAAGGGCAGCAACCTATGTTTAAGATGTGAATAAAGAAAATAGTTTTGCTATATCATTAAACAGTTAAAACAGGGAAACCTTTAAAGCTATATTTGGTGTAATATTTTGTGTAATATATAAAACATGTGTCTAAGATATAAATACATGGATCATTCACTATTGACTAAGTCATTACAAAGACAAAAGACCACCTAATTCCATAAGTAATTCATATTAACATTAAAACATATACAGGAGTCAGCCCCTTTCTCTTAATGTCTCTAAAAGGTTAGAAAAAATGTATTAATGTATTAATTTTTGTAATTATATTGATCAATCTTCAGCAGGTTTTTGTATGGTAAATTAAATGTTAAAAGAATAAGATTTCTAAATGTTAAAAGATAATTATATATTATATGTAAAAACAAAGTTTTTAGGCTTGACTAAGACTTGGAAAAAATACTTGTGAACATACCTGGTCCAAACTTGGCCTTTTTCCGCTTTTTTATCTGCTTGTTGCTCATGTTAATTGTATTTTCTCATGATTTTGTAAAAGAAAAAGTCATTATGAAGGAATTTCCACACAAAAAAACTGGGTAAATATTATACTTAAGCATTCTTTTATATACAAAATTAGGTATTAAAATCTGCACCCATATTTTAGGGAGCAACAGCAGTAAACAATGAATCAAATTCTTAAAGTTACCTTCTTTAGGTCAGAAGCCTAACATTTTTTGAATGACTAACGATTACAATTCAGTGCCTTAAACTGGCCTCTTGCCTCTCAATTATTTACCGTTTCATTTTTCTCCTCTCTCGGGGTTTGAAATTGTTGACATACTTTCGAACTTGTTTGATCCTTCTGGCTATTCTCCCCCCTTAGCTCTCTTTTGCTACATCTTTCCCTCTCTGTCCCACATAAAGAAGTGAATATAAATCCCTCAATTGGTAAATATAGAAAGGATTCCTCCTGATTAATAGGTATATAAAACATGAAAAAATTAAGCCATTTAAAAGCTGAGCTTGAATATATTCCTATTTGCAGCAGTTGAGCATTTTTTAGATGATTTGGGGAAAAAAATGCAAATGAAGTTAATTCAAAGAAGGTAAAATTTCAATAAAAAGGTTTAGCATAAAAAAAACTATTCAAGGTTTAAGTATTAATTTTATTTTGTCCTCTGTGATAGGTGTGGAGCCCCCCAAAGATCGAACATTTGTTCGTCTACAACGGCGCCACATCAATGTGCCACTGTACAGCATCCTGTCTACCATAACCATCCTAGGGATGCTCATGGCTGGGGCCTTTCTATTCTTCAACATCAAGAACCGAAATCACAGGTAAGTATTTGGCAACGGAGCGTAACAACCTTGACATAAATGTTAACTGGTGAAAAGGAAATGCACAGTTGTGCACAGTAGGAAAAAGATAACTTATCAGCTTCTGCAAAGGGAGAAGTTGAGGCAAGAGGGAAGGTTAGAGACGCATGTATGGGCTAAATGATCCTATAAAGGGGAGGGAGTCTACTCTGATTATATAGAACTGTGTCAGATAGTTGTAATTTTGGATATTCTTTTAAATACTGTACAATGTTGTAATTTTAAAGTTAAATTTTTCTAGCATCTATTTCATCTTTTGTTCCTCTTCAGACTTATCAAGATGTCCAGTCCGTACATGAACAACTTGATCATCTTAGGAGGCATGCTGTCCTATGCCTCGATTTTCCTGTTTGGTCTTGATGGGGGTTTTGTTTCTGACAAAGAGTTCGAAACACTCTGCACCGTAAGTAAACTTAAAATTTTTTCAAGATTTTAGTTAATTGCCCAAAATGTACTGTATGCTATTATGGTGGAAAATTTTACGTGGATTTCAAACATTTTTTTCATGCTTTTACCTAAAGGATATTGCATGGATTTGTGTTCAGCTTTCATTTATTTTGACAGCCTACAGAAAAAGTGAAATGAACTGCCTTGAGATGTCACCTAGTATTTCGAGTCCAGTCTCAGTATAAATGTAGCTGGTCTGTGAAGGCCTCAGAGGTTTTGCAGAGAACATTAGTGAACGAATGTTTGCACAACAACAAAACCTACCAGGACATGGCCATCCATTTGGACTGACAGGAGAGCATTAATCAGGGAATCTGCCAGGAGGCCCATCATAATTAAGGAGCTGCAGAGGTCCACAGGTCAGGAGGGATAACCAATCGACAGGCTAGCTGTTGATCATACACAAAACAAATCAAGCCCTTGTGGAAGAGTCACAAGAGGAAAGACTTTATTTGGAAAAAAAAGTCATAAAAATAAAGCCAATGTGGAAAAGTTTTGTGGTCAGTGATGCTGTGACTACAATCAATAATAGTCATGCAGAACTTTCACTATAGGGTCCTGTATGGAATTCTGGGTCATATTTTTAAGATATCTATGAAAAAAGAGAGAAACATTAAAAACCACAGATAACTTTTTTTTGCTTATTATTTTTTGGTCTAACATTCTAAGACTCAACAATTACAATGCAATTATGACTAAATGTGAGAAGTTAAAGAGGTATTAATGCTATCATTGTGTATTGTCAATTCCAGTTGTTCCATTTGTGTTTCACTTTATTAAACATATGCTAAAATAAAAGTGACACACAAACCTCTCACAATCACTATGTGATCAAGAGAGGACAGACTCAATCTCATTGCAGGTCTCTAGCTAGCACATAGTGCATTAAGTGTTTCCCCCCAGGAAGCAGTAACATGACTATGTAGATACTGGATTGATTAAAGAGTTTTGATTACAGCGATAACTAGTTTCCATTGAGAGAACACACACACACAGCACAGCACAGACACAAGTAAAGACAAAACATGACACGTCTGGAGCCAGGGCTAAACTGGCCCAGTCTTTTTTCTTTAGTTACATTTTATGGGGAGACACACAGCATGAGTGGTTTCAAAAGTGAGTGAAACAAATTAATCCAAAGTAAAACAAAACATTTACTAGTATTAAGTGTTTTAACTGAAAGGTGAACTGCTAGGATCACTGCTACAATGGATAAAATGTATATTTAAAAGAAATATTAATTTAATATAGATATATATGTTGGCCAATGGCACAATGGGCATCGGCCTACATGTACCTGGCTTATGCCCAGTATGCCAAATGGTCAATCCAGCCCTGTCTGGACATGCTCTCAACCAGATGAAGCTGTGCTGCAAAACCAAAACAGAACCTGGAACTTCAGGAGAAGATTTACAGCAAAGGGCCGCAGAACTTAATAGATATACCACTGATTATTGACCTGGTCTTCCAATGAAAAGCTCATCTAACTTTTTTACCTTTTGTAGCCAAAAACTGATTAAGTTATCAGTGATATCAGTAATTCTGACTGTTAAAATAACAGGTGTCTATGTTTTAAATGTAAGAGCTTTTTCCAAACATAATAACATTCCTCCTATCCAAAAAAAAAAAAAAAGTAATTCTGAAAAAAGGCAACATGATGTAGAAAATGTATAAAAACCTCTTTCAGTGAGCATTCACAATATTCCTTAAATTTTATCAAAGAGGCTTTTAATTCAACATTTCTTTTTAGACTATTTTCCTATCCCCAGAAATACAGATTTCTGGACCCATGTCACATCCATATTTTTTGACAATCTGAAATTGAATTGTTCTTGTTATAAAATGATTCAACCTGGAGAGACTCACACAGAGAAAATCTGCAATTGAAAAAGTTTTCTTCAATTAAATGTTATTCATTTATGTAAGTTACACAGTCAGTTTGGTAAAAAAAAAAAAAATGCTCCCATCTAAGGAAATGCAGCTAATTGCAACACAATACAATCCCTCACATCAAGCATGCATGTAGCAACAGTGGAGAGGAAAACTTCCTTTTACATGAAGAAACCACCAGAACCAAGAGTGTTGTGAGCGGCCATCTGCCGAGGCCGACTGGGCTTTAAGGAGACAGAAGATTTTGGCATGAATAAAATAAGATCTTTGGCTCTCGGGCCCTGGCGAAAGACTGATGCTGAGAATTTGCTTGGATTAGTAACATGTAAATGGATTAGAGTACTCTTCTCCTTGATGCCAAGACACTGATGCTTAACCTAAAATTCATCTCAATTTTTTGCAAAAATGCTTTGTTTGTCCACAACTGACTGGCACTATTTTATCCACTCTGATAGTATAGTTCCACCATTTCAAATAATGGTCCATAAAGTCAAGTTTGGTTTTATCAAATATAGAGACATTCCCCCAAAAGATAGTGGTTTATTTTTGGCTTAACTTTGTTATGTCTTGAAAATCTATTAATTTGTCAACACTTACTAATAAACGTTTTCACATGTTGTTACATCTTCTTCTATATTTCTGTTTGTCTCCTGAAGCCTACCTGATTGGTTTCAGTCTCATCTTTGCCCTTTTTTTCTCCAGTTATTGGTAACTGCCTTCACCATGCCAGATGTTTATTCTTCCTCTTCTGACTTATACATTACTTCTGTTCAAGGAGAACTTTGTGATCCTTTATGACAACTGGAAACTATTTTGATTTATTTTATTTTATTTATTTCATTAATAGAAAACAACATAACAGAGCCTGTGCAGGAGACAACTGAAACAAACAATCATGAATGATAGAAAGAAAGGGAGCAGAAAGAAGCAAAAACTATTAATATGTATCTATAATATATGTTAATTTTTTATATTAAACTATGGCTTTAGAAATATGGAAATGTTTGGAAAATCTAAATAAAAATGGCTGAAATTTTTAAAATAATTAGATTTACTAAAAATACTACAGGTATGAGCCAACAAGCAATTACTACGCTCTTAAACTGAAACATACTACTTTTATTCAGGTCTTTGTTTTGAGGGTTGGGATTTATTTAGTTTTTTTTTATATCACTATTTGTATACATTTCTATACATTTCTTTTATTATAAATATACCTGTTGTCTTGTCACATTAGAAAGCTTAGAAAATTCATGTTAGAAAAGTTGTAAAATGCTGGAATGACTCATCAAAGTAGCAACTAGTGATGCTTAAGTAAACTCACCACTCACTTATGACTGTGCAGCTATTTTGGGATTCTTTAGATTGTATTGAATATTCAATCTTTTTTAACTCATCAGCATAGTTTTTTGTGCTAAAACGTAAGAGGTCCACATTTTGTTTTTACTTCTACTAAGAAAAAAATACTCTTAGAAGTCTGACAGCCCCAGTGCTAAGGTTGCTCTACTGGAGCCCTATGAAGTAAAAAATAAATCTGTCAGCTTCTTATTTTTAGAATGCCTCGCAACACTTTTTGAACCAATTTATCTTTAGATACCTGTCAGATCAGATACGGTTGAGCTTTGATTACCCCATCAGGACACGCTGTGACTGTGTGTTGGTGTTCTGACAGGTTCGGACATGGATCCTCATTGTTGGATATACAACTGCTTTTGGCGCTATGTTTGCCAAGACATGGAGGGTACATGCCATCTTCAAAAATGTAAAGATGAAGAAAAAGGTAAGGAAAAACATTAATAATTACATAGATTTGTCCTGGCTTCATAGGGAAATCTACTCAAGTGTACGGTTTTGAATCAAATTGATTTACTGTAACTCCCACTTTCTTACCTTAATAAAAAGCAAAATTTTTCTGTCAATCTTGAAGGGAATTTAAATGTTGTAACTTGATTGATCCAAGTGACATAAAACACATTATTTGTACAATCCTACCTCAACAGATTATGACAGAACAAGTAAAACTCTCCAAAACATACATTCACATGCAAACACTAAAAGACGTAAGCTTCCTTAACACGTACCAGCTGCTCAGTCCCTTAATAAACACATTTTCAGTGTTGTTTCACCAATTCAGTCGGATGTTTTGCTTAAAAAGCATATCAATGTTTTTCTACCACCTCAACCTCCACTCGAATGCTGGATATAGAGTTTGGCCTGTTCCTGCTTCCCCTGAAATATTTTGGGCAGTGGCGGCTGGTGGAGTTTCCTCCGGGGGGCTATAAGTACAAAATACATGTATACTAAGTTATCACACCAGTATATTTATATGAATGCCAACAACAAAAACATTATAAAAACCCTTTATAAAAACAAAAACATAATTTCATGTACATTTTACTTTTTGCACGTGAAGTTTTGTGAAAACAAATCTGCGTTTTGCATGGCCCAATACTGTGTGATATAAAATAATGTACCAGTTTAATAATGGAGAACCTATAACTCAGCTTTATGTATCTTTTTATATATAAACACTATTTATTTTCTTAGAATTTGTTTATTTAAGAAGAACTATAATATAGCGTTTTAAAAGAACGCTATATTATATTATTTTCCATGTGAATCCTATATTGTTCATTCATCTTTGCCTTTTCTAAAAAGTGCTTCAAATCAGTCCTACCTGTCTTTATCCATGCTGGGTCAGATCCCGACTTTTAAAAGAAGGCAGGAAAGCAGGATAAAGCTTTAGCCTCCCTGCATGCAGTTAGTCAAGCCTTGTAGCTAAACCAGGTCCTAGTTTCTCCATCTGTCTTTGGACTGCTGATTAATTTTGATGTTCGGCTGAACAGGTCCAAACGGTTTCACCTCCACCTTCTCTTGGTAACTTGGCTTTCACGGTGTTTACTTCTGCAACTCGACCTGTCAATTAGACGCACTACAACGGTGGCGACACCTCGTGGCGCACCTGATGTGCTCTTCTATATCTTTGTATTGCAGAGGAGCTACTGCGCATGTACAACTTTGAACAACAGTCAATGGGCTAACATTTTTTAACCATAGGGCAGAAATACGTCACCAATCCGACGATAAACGAAACAGCTTTACTCGTCATTAAACATTAAATATTCATCTTGCACATCTAAAAAATATATGTCAATATATTTCAAAATATTTCAATTTTATAATTTTATTTTATTTTCTTTTTTGTCTTAATTAAGGTCATTGGGTGGGTAGGGCGGCACACTAGCGCCTACTATTGGCCAGCTGCAACTGATTTTGGGATTAAGGCAGAAAAGATAAAAAGCACCTATAAAAATCTACATGTAACGTACCCACAACTTAAAACACTGAAGAAAATCTGGAGTTTTTTTGGGGTCATGAGAGTATTACAAGTTTCTGAGACGTAGATTAGCATTAAACTCTAAATAAACTCAGTGAGGTCAACTTAAAAACAACAGAAAGGAGACAGCTTGTGCTCTATATTTGGACATTGATCTTGAAGTAAAGCTTTTGGATTCTTACCTCCTAACATTGCGGTATTGCTGATGGAGCCTGGACTTGAATGGCATTATAACAAATCTGAATACTGGTGATTGCAGCACCTACTTTGAGAAATTTTACTTTGGGAGAAAAGAAGATATAGACATAAAGACAGTCTTTTAAAATAAATGCGCTGACCCGTTTCACTAGCCCAGTTATATAAAGTGCTGCACTCTCTCCGTTGAAAGACTTCATGGTCTTTTGTATTAATAGCTGTTCCCCTCTCCCACTCCATTTCTCTTTCTTTCACATAATTTTTTGTATTATTGTAAGGTTACCTGGCCTCAAACTGAACATAAAAAGACAAAGAATGTGATGGATAGATGGATGGATTGATGACTAAAAGAGTTTAAGAGGTAAGAAGGGTGTAAAAAAAAGTTTGCAGAAGGAATGATGGCGCGACAGAAGGAGGAAAGCAAAGCAGGACAGTGTTAAGATCAGAACACATAATCTGGCCTCCAGTCCAAAGAAGGTAGATTGGGAACTCTGAAGATAAAAAAGAAAGCAGGAGACCGGAACCGATGATGCATCAAAAGAGGTTAAAAGACAAGAACCTCTAACATCCTGTTTAAGGTAGCTTTTCAAAGATATTTCATAACTCTGAATCTGACCTTTAACATTAATCTCATGTGTTGTGTTTTCTAAAAAATTCCAGAAACAGAGCTGTTTTGCGTCTTTGAACTCAGTATTGCTCTGACATTTCATAGCCAATTATTTCAGCTCACTTCTCCTACTCTCACCTCTAACAAAGACAAAACAAATGTTTCCTTTGAGGCAGTGTTCCCCCCCTGCTGCATAGTTTAGCTCTTAACACTAGAGATGTACGCTCTGTTGGTTCAAGGTCTGGGTTTGTGTGCAGGACACACACACACGTTCCACTTCATCCACATTGATTGAGTGCAGGTGCTTTGGCTTCAGCAGACTGATAGTTGCTGTCGGTGCCCTGAAATGTCTGCCAACTGCTGTCATGGGAGGGACAGACACAAGTGTTGCCCTTTTTTTTTCTTTTTTCAAACTGAAACCAAAGCAGTGATTTTCTCCCCTTTCTTAAAAGTTTTCCTTCCTTAAATGTTTTTTAATTTTTATACTGTAAAAAAAATATTGCTATTTAAGAGAGTTTGATAAAGACTCTTTTGCAGACAGCAGGTTTTCTCTTTTTAAAGAGCTCAAAGACGGTGAATTGTCGTTCTTCTCTGAATTCTCTCAGATGCACCCTGTCATGGGCCAGTATTAGATTGACAGAGTTGGATAACCTGAAGTAAAAATACCACAGTTTCACACTCAAATTAAAAAATAGAAATGTCTATTATTAATACATGGAATTAATCAAAACAAACAAAAAGGAAACAAAATTTAGTTGTTAATTATTAATTTTTCAGAACAATATGATGCTGTGGTGTTCTGCTCTACATACAGCATGCTGCAGTCGACTGCTTAATAGACATACATGTTGTTGGCTCCTTTACCTTCCACATCACAATTGTTGGTGCATGTTGCAACCAAAGCGTTTTTAAATAGCCACATTTGTAGTCTTCCTCTGGCAAGCCTGGTCAGCAGTGTGCAGCAACTAGTCAAGGGAGAAGCAGTGCTGCAGTGATGTTGGGGCACAGTCGATACCACTGCTCTCTCCAGGATCTTCTTTTCAAAATTATTTGTAAAATGACGTTATACCTTGATATCTGCAATTGACTTGTTCCTAGATGATAAAAAGTTAACAGTCAGTTCATCCAGCTTGCTAATTTCTTAAATTCCTCAGTGCTGGATAACTGAATGCACAAGCTTTTCAGATTGTCTCTGGCAAAGCAAGCACAGAGGATTTATTAGTCTAGAAAGATATTTGTCATTGTTCATAAAATCACTTGAAATTTTTCTTTTTTGCACGTTTCGAACAATTGGGTATGTAATGTTGTTAAAGTTCTGATATATTTAGATATATCTGACTGAAGCTATTCCCACCGAGCAAAAATTGGTTGAAAAAATGACCTGATTTAAGTCCAAATGACGTCTACATTTGGTTGAAAAGAGAAAGGAAAAAAGCCATCATTTTCAGATTGTTGAAAAGACATTAAAAACTGAGTTTGCAATGTCTTTTAACATCTATTATTGGACTCCATTGGGACAACTGACCAGATTTAGCCTGAAAAAACAACGTCTAGATGACGTCTGGTATTTTGGGGGGTTACATCTAGAGGTGCATAAACATATCCCAAATAATGCAAATGTAGAAATGTACATTCACTTGCTTTTATTTGATCAGCGTAACAACTTTTTTAGAAATTGGCTACAGCATTTAGATTAAGATAGAAACTTTACAGCATGCTGTTTATTTTTTTGTAGCTGAAAGTACATATGATTAAAAAAAAAAAGACCAAATAAAATTATATCACCACCAGTAAGTTCATTAATTTGTCAAACCAAAGGGTTAGTAGATTATATTTACTTTCCTAAAATGATTTAGAGAGAACAAAAAACGATGTATCTGACTTTTAATTCCACTAACGCTGTATATTTTTTCTTTGAGTCTGAGGTTTTCTAAAATAAAGTTTGGATACTTGAGAGAAAAATCTATGCAACACTATTAGTATGTCTCAATGCCAATATTGCAGAGGGGAAAAAAAAAACAGGTAACACTTTAGTTATTATAGACTAATTACATATGTAATTTGTCACAAAGAGCCACTTGGCAATATAACACATCAGAGTTTAGTGGATAGCTGTGTAAATTATTTTTTTTTTTTTCAAATACTTCCCAAATGTTTATTCAAAAGGCGTTTGCCGGTTTGAATCTGAGAGGATTTTGGGAAAGCCCGAGTGAATCCTATATAATAAATGTCATTGCAGCATTTTTTTTACTATTAGGTTAATCAGAGACTTTAAAGTATGTCTTGCTTATTTATACAATTGATGGTCAGAAAGTTAAAAACCAGAACAACCTCCAAATAATGTTTAGCTGCAGCAATGGAATACATCTTGGAAGGTCGCTAATTCTCCATAACCCCCTACCACACATTGACCAGTTATTTTACAGGGATGCAAACGGCTGGTTTTCTCTGAGAATTCACTTTTTGGAATCAAGCATTTATTTGATTCAGCTGGAAAACAAAGAAGATGGAAAGGATTACTGTTGAAAGCTTTTTTTATTTTTACACCAGTAGATCCATCTGGTTGAATACACAGTGTTTATTTTAAGAACTCTTCATTAATATTTACATTAAAAAAGAATGTACAACACTGTGCATGTGTGCAGCAGGTACACAATAAATTTATTGGGCTTAGCAAGTTAGCAACTCTCAGAGAAGTTGTAAAGATAATTAGAAAAAAAAAATGGAGGATATAGTGTCAAAGAAAATGCAAAAACAAAACCATTTCCAAGAGGGATAAAACTTAAATAGTACTGAGAATACAGTATGAACATTGGTGTTCAATGAAGAAGGAGTCTAAGTCAGAAGCCTTCAGATGTTGCTGCAAAGTTAAGAAATGCACTACTGATAGCAATGCTACAGTATATAGTCTCTCAAGTTCAAACATTAAAACATTAAATATAGATTGATGATTGGAATTGAAAAGGGGGGCAAGAACTGAAACGGCGCAGCCCCCAAAAATACTCAAGATCCCATTCAATATCCTCTCAAAACCCACCGGTTTAAAGCGTTTACAAATAATAACTCAGAATGCATGAAATTTACACTGGTAAAATGTTTACCAATATAAAGCTTAGATTCCCCACAATTCGACCACCTAGTTAATTTTATGGACATAGTGAGCACCAAAGCACAATTATAGCAGCATGTCAAAATGTAGCATGACAAAGCAGCCCCAACAAGCAAGCATGTCTTTATTAATGCTGTTCAAAAAAGACTTCGAGAATAAAAAAAACAGCTTTGAGTCATGTTTGAACTGATCCAACTTTGGCTTGATACAGCTTAGGTGTTTTACTCACCCGGTTTTAATGTATATATTGAGAAACTGAAATGAAAAAAAAATGATCTACAAATAAGTAAAAATTTCTTAAAGCAAGTGTATTTACCCTTAATTTTAGTAGGTAAATGGGATGATTTGCCAATAGAATGAGTATTTTTACTCTTAAAATAAGATAATTAGATAATATGCACTTGTAACAAGACAATGCAGTTGCTTTTTCTTATTGTGAATTCTTCTCTCACTCACCTACTCAATTCAAGAACAAATGTACTTAGTTTAAGAAAAAAATACTTAGTCAGATTTCCATTTTTTTTTGCAGTGTGTTAGCTTTCAAATAATGTATCACACATGTAATTTGGGCTTACAGTTCCTTAGTTATTTGCTTTTCGATTTGGGTATGCAAAAAGGGGCAAATGTCCCAGAAATGAGGATATGATAATAATAGTAATTGAACTTTACTGATCTCGAATGGGAGAAATTTACCTCTACATTCAAACCATCCCCTTGGGGAGCAGTGTGGGGTTAAGGGTCTTGCTCAGAGACCCAGAGTGGCAGTCTGTGGGAGTGGGGCTCGAACACAGAACCTCAGGATTCCAAGCTCTATGCCCTGACCACTGCCCGATAAATCCTTAATTTAGGGCTCATCAACAATGCACTTACTGGAAAGGAGAATTTTATTGCATTTAACTTGAATTAATTCAAATTAAAAGGGTCCTAGCCTACGACTTTTTTATTTATTACCTGAAATACCTCTTATGTTGTGTTCCAGTTTGAGTTTGATAGGAATGGGAATTTCTTTTCACTTTAGCTTCTGATTGTAGTCTCTGAGGAGGATTCTCTGAAACTTAGAGTTGCTGTAGATTGGTTTAATAATTACATTTGCTTGGTATTCAACAACACTGAGCTGTCATTTTTCTGTAAGGCATTACAGGATGGTCGCTCTTGTTAAGCCTCTATTATGTAGCTGCATGATGCCACCATTTGGCTTTCTGGTAGTTCTGCAGTACGACTGACTGATAGGCTTCTTGTCTGATTTTGTCTGCTCATGGCAACCTTTGTTGGTATTATATATAGTCTCAAATAAGACTATCCAAACACCGTCAGGATGGGAGCATGGTGTATAAAGCCTTATTTTATTTTATAAAATTTATTGGTCTTTTTTGTATATGCATATATCATGACAATGCCTCTTTAAAAATGGTTTAGGATCCACAATGCAGTCTTCTTCCAAACCACTTGCCAAACCTTGGTGTGCATGTCAGTATAAAATAACTATTCTTCTAGAAGGTTTTTCAAATACATAAATGTTCTAACCTTTAATGTTTCTTTTTTTGTTCTTTCACTATTATAATGTATAAATATGTATAAATGTTTTGTACTCTAAGTGGTCCAAACCACGTTTGTGCATTTACATAGTGCATTATTGCATCCACATCTATTTCTGCTGTGGTCTGAGCACTCTCACATTACTGATGGATGTTTGGTATATTCTTCCTGCAGTAACTCTGACATACACTACCTAATGGAGGAGGAGCTGTGAATCCCACCAAAAGCTATCAATATTCGTTTCTCTGTGGCCACATTTGCGCAGGCCTTGCATCATCAAAAGGCTGCAGATCAAAAGACACTCCCCTCTTGTCCCTTGTTCTGAGCCCACCGGGAATATGGACACCTGTGCGAGCCACATCTAGACTATATACTACTTTCCAAACAGATCCAAACTGTCTTCTCCTGACCTTTCTTTTGATTCATGGTTTTAGTCTGTCAAGCGCTGTTATAAATGAAGATCACAAATGGGTCATGGCTTTCATCCTTCCAAAGTTCAGAGTACAAAAGAGGAGGTTTAGTTGTGAGCAGCACTGGCTCTGCATTGGTCCCCTTTAACTGAAAGAACTTTTTTTTTTTTTGCGTATTAACAGAGAGATCAACTGAAGTATCAGATATTCTTTTTGCTTTTTTCTTTACAATAGGACCAGAAAATACTTTCTTAAATACATCAAAAAGAAGGCTGAGAAGGTATTGGTCATAAGATTAGATTGAAGTCAAAGAACATAATATATAAGATGGAGACATGTTTTCATACCTTTTAGACATGGATGTACCTCCATTAGATGAGCAAACGTTGAGTGATTTCTCTAATATAAACACATCTTCTCTTCTTTTACAGATTATAAAGGACCAGAAACTGTTGATTATTGTCGGTGGGATGCTACTTATCGACTTATGCATCCTGATTTGCTGGCAGATCGTGGACCCTCTCAGGAGGACCGTTGAGGAATACAGCTTGGAGGTCAGAGTGCATTTGATGCTCTTTCTCCTCGTGTCTAAACATGTGCTCAATTTTAACATGGCTTTATTAATCTGACTGGCCTTTTCTGACAATGAGTGCCAGAGTGAATAAAACTGAGTTATACTGAGTAAGGCAAATGCCTTCATTTATATTTTAGCAGAATCCTTGTCACGTCTTGCGTTTGTTGTTATATTTAGGCTAGGATGTGAGCCATGGCTGCCTTCTGTGCTCATTCTATTCCCGGATCTCTGCCAGTTTCAATGGGAGGCATTGGCAGGGGCCAGTGGAAAACAGGCACTTAGTATTACATTCATTCTGCCGGAGAGGTTGTTGGGTGTAAGAGAGATATTATCACTGCTGTACCCTGAGAAGTCAGAGATCTTCGACAAGAAAAACATAACAGTGTTGATTTTAGAAAGTGATGGTGTGTAATTTTGACTGAGCTATTAACAAATGTCTTTGTGATGATTTAACAGAAATCATGGTAATTTATAATAGTGGATTAAACAACATGGGAATAATTCAGCTTAATATTCTAAAAAAAGATTCACTGCAGTGTTATGTTTGAGGTAATTAAAGTTTTACTGCCAGCGACAAAATAGCATGATTAAGAAATATTTTAGAACCATCAGTTTCTTAGTTGCTAGCCCTTCAAAAAATATTTAGCTTAAGGTAAGTGTTGTGCAGAGTATTGGCAAGGAGTAGATGCCATATGGGATGATCTATTTGAATAAAATGTTTAATCAAGTAAATAAAATCTGGATTGTGCTTAATCTAAGAGGCCTTGGCTCATAGTTGGCTTATCATATGGAAACCATGGTGAATATATATATAGAGAAAAAAACCAACTGGGCATTCTGTGTTGGTAGCTGAATAAAGATAATAACTAAATAAGACTATTTAAAAAGGCTTAAATTGTGCAAAATATTGGGGATGCATTCACTTTCCTCATTTTACCTTGGGTTCAGCTGTAATAAATTTTTTTCAAGCAGTTTTTTTTCTAGCCGGAAAAACTCATGCAAATGTTGTCCGGCAAGATGTGGGCAATCAATGAGAATCTGGGGGAAGAATAAATACTTTAGGCTTACAGGTTTAAGCAGTTTTCTGCTACCATGTTTATATAGTGGAGCTTAAGTCATATTAAAAGCTGAACTGATGCCATTTTAAAGAAATATTATTTTTTTTAAAGTAAATTACTCATTGAAATTAATGATTGAAACATATTCCATAGAATATAACATGAGTTCCCATTAACATCTACTTAAAGCAAAGTATTTAAGACTAAAACTTTACATACGGCTATTAAAAAACATTCTCAAGTTAGCTTTCTTCAAAGACTCTCATCCTTCTACTAAGTTGTTTTCTTTCTTTTATGAGTCATTCCTGACATTAGTGTGCAGTTCAGAAGATGTCAGACTGCCTCTCAAGGGGCTGGAGACCTCGAGAATTTATGGCATCAGTTTATTATAATTGACCTTTGGATAAAGCAGAGGTAATTAAGAGGTCAGAAAGAGATGTAGAATCTTTTGTGGAATTTAATGGAAACTTCTTTTGATAATTTCAGATGGATTTTCTTGGCTTATTTGCTTGTTACTAGGGACCTGAGGGGGAAAAAAGAGTGTGTTATACTGTAGCGGACCATGTTTGGACTTTTTATCTTGAGATTTGAAATACATTCGGTCTGGAGTCTGGTAAAAATGAAAATACCTCTTCATATCATCTTTAGAGGAGAGATGTTAATATTATACTTGAGACTTATTTACATTTTATGGTCTATTTGAATATATGTCAAGATTACAATTGTTTAACGATAAAGCCCATATATCATTGTACTGATTCCCCTTTCTATTTTTGAGTCTACCCTGGTGGCAAAGGAAGTCTTGTTTAACATATTCATTGTGAATGTTGTCAGTGTATGAAGGTCCTCATGGAGTATTCTTTGACTAAGCCCTTTGTCAAGGGAGTGTTTTGAATCTATAAACCATGGAGTGGAGGAATCTGCATTTCCCCAGAGGTTGTGGATATGCAAGCCTTTGCTGAGGCACATTCTCCACATGCCTGCCCAGCTTTCCAGACTTCCAGCACCAGCAATGAAAGACCCTTGGGGCTGAGCTGGAGGGAAAGCAGCTCTGAGCTACTCTGCACTGAGGGCCTGAAGGCCTGTAAAGTGGAGCCTCGAAGCAGATGGCAGCCCCAGCACCTGGAGAGGGGTTAATTAAAAAACGGGGACAGGGAAAATTAAAAGGAAGTGTATTAATTAATCAACATTTAATAATAAAGTCACCTTCTTAAGGTGTGTAAATAAGTTCAGTAGGTCTATATTACAGTATTTCTGGAAAGAAATGTCAATGCCAAGATTTGCATTATAATGATGATAATTGAACTTTATTTATCTCACAATTGAGAAATTCACCTTTGCATTTGATCCATCCCCTAGGGGAGCAGTGGGCCGCCACTCTGCGGAGCCTGGGGAGCAATAAGGGGTTAAGGGTCTTGCTCAAGGACCTAGATTTAAGGCTGTGGGGATCAAACCAGGTGCTTGCAATGTTCTCAGAGCACAAGCGCAGTGCTTACTCATACTTACTAGGCCAAGAATCCCACATAAATCACAACCACATTCAAATCAATCTTTCTGTGGTGGAAAATAATACAGTTAATGTCTTCAAAAGTCATACTTAAGTTAGTGTAGTGCTAATTCATTATGTTCCTACTCAAGTAAATGCAAAAAATATATAGGTAAGAGGTAATAATAATGAAATAAATTAAGCAACAATAAAGTATTTGTGAAAATACTACTTATTATTGGGGTAAAACATGTCTGCTGTTACTCACAGTAGGCAGAGTATTGAGTAATCGTACTCAAGAAATAGTGATACAATAACTTGGGAAAGAGTGAAAAGTACAGGGACGCCACATGGCTCAGTGGTAGAGCAGATGCACCATATGTAGAAGCTAAAGTCCTCAGCACACTTCTTTCATTCCTGGCCCCAAATCATTTGCTGCATTTCTTCCTCTTTTTTCTCTGCCCTACTTTGTGTCCTACTAAGACCACAAAAATGTAAAAGTAGGATGCCCTAAAACTACTCATTAAAAGAGTCATAACCTGGTGTTTTAGTTACACAATTCTTCTGAAATTTTCTTTAAATTAATGTTTAATCAGTTTTAGATTAAGCAAAAAAAAAAAATGGTGCTTATATTCGGTTTTTTTATGTTTTTAACTTGTGTGTATTGTACTTAAATGTCTACTTAGCTCAGAAAATGATCAGTTTATTGTGGTTAGTTTACCGTAATTTCCTGGTCTCTTATAAAATAGGTAAAAAGCTAAGGAAGCAGTAACACTTAACGACTTCCTGCAGGTGTGACCCTGGTTGTTTGAACAGGCCTTTTTGGTGGAATACAAATGGAAGCGGTGATAGCAAGGCCGGCTAATGTTAGAACACATTTCCATTAGTTTCCAGATTACTATGTCTCACACTATAAACACATTCATTAACATATAAATATTATCTAAGTATACGGTGAATGTATGAAACTTTATATATTAACTATAAAACAACTCAAATTAATGATAATTTTGTTGTTTTTTTATCAAAATATTATTTTGGGGTTTTCTGCTTAGTGAATTGTTTGCCTCAGTGTTAACTGCATTGTTATTTTGGATTTAAAACCTCTGCAAAAAATGAAGATTTAATATTAACACTGCATTGCATCAGCATGATCAATTCAATTCAGTTTATTGACTTAAATGTAATTGTAAATAACTTTGCAAAAAGCTATTTTGTAAAATATATCAATTGTTCAGTACTAGATCATTTACTCAGTACTTGAGTTGCCTTTACACCAAATACTTTTTTTACTGTTACTTGAGTATTTTATTTAAAGGATACTTTTTATACTTACTTGAGTAAAAATATGATTAAGTAGTGCTACTCTTACTTACGTATGTGCAATTTGTGGATAATCTACCCACCCCTGATCAGAAACAAATAGACTTGAGAAAAGTTATCTCACAAAGCTGCAATCATCTCCCTTCTAGCAGTAACTAAAAATCCCTCCTAAAAACCCACTTCACCTGTAGCCCATTTTAGCACAAGCTGCATTGTGTAAATACTACATTGTAAATACTACATTGCTGCATTGTGTAAATACTACATGCTTCGATCTAGTGTAACTTATGTAACTTATCCAGTGTAACTTATGTCTATGTATTACAGTATACGTGTGTCTCTCAGAAAACGGATTGTGGTGGCATAATGACAATAAAAACTCTAGATTCAGTTTTGGGAAATAAGGATCAGATTAGGGTGTTAACCTTCTCCTGGCAACTAAACCAGGGTGCGGGAGGTCATTAATTTCTTCCATCCAGCTGAGTTACACTATTGTTTCTTGTTAAAGCAAGTAACTCTCCAACCATGAATGTTTACTCCAATGTTGACTTCAGATCTGAGCTTCCAACAGAAATCTAATCACACTGCTTCCTGCTCACTCTTGTTTGCTCCATCGGCACTTTTGACAACTGTCTGCATATTCATGTCTCACCAGCTACGGCGACCACAGAAGCCTGAGCAACCCACCCCTTCTATCAGTAGTTGGCTAGCGTGTTGCCTTTGCTTTTTGTTTGGATTGGTTGAATTGTGTGGTTGACAGATCAAAGATAGGAATGATAAAAAGTTGATCACTGCAGAGCAAAAAAAAAAAAAAAAAAACACACTTTCCAGTCCAGGGCAGGCACAATGTCTCTCTGGGGGGTACGGCATGCCTTTGCCCACACTTGCTGCTTAGACTTGATTGGCCAGTGGGTGACTTTCATTTGCATACAGTTAAATAAATCATGAGTGAGAGCAGAGATGGAGCCATGTGAGTGTAGCAAGCAGGGATCTAACTACAGGTGTGCAGAGATGGACTCGAATGTGCACAGCGTGCACACTACATTTGTCAACAAGCAAAAAAAAAAAGGATTGAGGCAGGAGTAAAGGTAGCAGAGCAGAGTTTGTCAGAGT